AATGAGAATAGGGAAAGTCTCATTAAAGTTGTCAAAAAGGGAGGAGAAACTCATGAGGGAGCCTAAGAAGTTCCCTGATGATAAGAGAACTTGGAGAGAAAGGGGATTATGGGTGTTCTGGGTGGAGAGGTCAAGAAGAAAAGAGTGAGACCCCTCTCTACATAATCTTCAGTCACTTCCTAAAATGTCCCTTACCTAATCTGTTTGCTATTTCCATCATTTAACTTCATAAGATACCCATCTGTGTCTCAACTCAGACTACTCCCATACCCAGGAACCCTGCCCTTTTCCAGGATGCCAATCCACATCCATTCCATATTTAAGACTTGGCTCAAAGCTTGTCCTCCTAAGAATATCTGGTTACTTTGACGAGATTCTGATTACTCCTATTTAGGTAGTCCCCTTATGTATGTAGTTGCTTGCTAAAGATGGCCCTGCTGTGGAGCAGTGCCAAGAGTCCAGGACTTAGACTCTGAAGATCTGGGTTCAAATTCTGACTCTGTACAAGTTAATTAGCTGGACCCTGTTGGAGAAGTTATTAAAGCTCATCAGTTTCTTTATCTGTAAAGTATTCATGGCTATAACTACTTTGAAGGGTTGCTATAAGATTTGTGTGTGAGACTATAAAAAAACTATACATGTGGTATGGCATAGGGTGGTATTATTAAGTTTACATTTGGTCCATAGGTTGCTTTTGCAAGCATCCCAAAGTGTGTGTGTGAGTGTGTGTGTGTGTGTGTGTGTGTGTGTCTGTGTGAATTTGATATTTACTGGGATTATAACTTTGAAGACTAAAACTGTGTTTTGTTTCTTTTCGAACCCCCTTTTAGCTTTGGGGGCTCACGGGGTTAACCAAGTGCAGCAACCTTAAGGATGTTGCTCCCAGGGGACAGGACTTCTGGATCTTTGAGCAGGACCAAGTGTCCGATGACGGCCTGCACTTCTATGTCATTTGAATCAGTATCACCTAGTCTAGATCTGTAGGCTGCAGACACATAGGGGAAAAATCATAGGTATGTGCAGTAAATGGAAAAGGCTTGAGGCAAAACCATCTGATGACTCTGCAGATTGCTCTGAGGAAAATCCAAAATCCTCAAGCCTACCAAGCCCCGCATGGCTGTGAATCTGCAGAGAGACCTCTCTGACCTCGTCTCCTGTGACTCACCCCCTTGCTCATTTGTATCCACTCATCTCTACTATTTCCTGAGTACACGGCTTTAGAGCCTTTGCAGGTGCTATTCCTTCTCCTGAAATGCTCTTCTTTGATGTTCATTGGTTTCTTTCCCTTATCTTCTTTGGGTCTTTGTTCCAATGTTACTTTCTCAGGAGACCCACCCTGACAACGTTATTTCATTTTCGTGACCCTCAGCATTTATCTCCTTCACTGATTTTTTTTTTCTGTAGCACCTGTTATGATCTGATATGTATTTTACTTATTCCCTCTTGTCTTTCCATTAGGATGTAAACTCTACAAGGACCATGTTTTTTGTCTATGTTTTTAAAACTGCTATATCCTTGGTGTCTAGATCTTGAAACACATGGTAGGCATTCATTCTCAACAGCCTTTGTAATTTTCTGGATCTGAAGACACAGGGAATCCAGTGATCAGTAGATGGCGCTAGAGCTCCATATGATCTTTTTCTCCAGTTGGCTTCCAAGGTGTTTATCAGCCTCTGGAATATTTACTGTGCTAAATCGGCCTGGTTGATTATTCTAGACATTTAGTTATACAACCATAGCGTTATGACTTGAAGGAGACATTATAGATTGCATTGTGCTAACTCCTCATTTTAAGGATGAGAAAACTGGAGCACAGTAAGGGGTCAAAAATTATAAAGTCATATGTGGCATTAACAGCAGAGCCAGGACAAGAACTCCTTTCCTGACCCCCCTCCCTCTCTTAAACTGTTACTATATGTTTAGTTGTGTTCTTAGCATCCTTTCCTCTCGAAAATACAAGTTTCTTGTATGCAAAATGCAATAAGAGATTGTATTTTGACAGTAAATATTCAGTCAATAAATATTCCATTTAAATTAGGCTCCAACTGCTTGAGTAAGTCTCAGTAAATTAGCCAACAATAATGGCTGTATATCCACTTGTGCTGGGTTCTCAAAGGAATAGGAGACTCATCAGATTCTTAATGATCTTATCGCTTCTATGGAAAGGATGCACGACATAATTGAAGCAACAGGAGAATACTTGTTTATACTGCTATCAGAAGGCAGAATGCACACTGGGAAATCTGAGCATATGGAGCTCAACAGAGCACTGAGGGAGGATTAAAGGAGGTAAGTTTGGAACTGGCCTTTCAAGGGTCAGATGCCATAAATTTCTACACTAAGGACCAACTCCAAACTGTACAGCAAGCCATGCTATGAGACATTCATATTAAGCCTTGGGGTATTTTATCACATTCATGATACTTGATACAGAATACATCAGACCAAGAGCAGCCACTAGTTTTGATGCAGAGGGTATAGTGGCAAACAAGAGAAACAAAATCCTTGCTGTTGTGGACCTTAAGCTCCAGTAGGGGGCAGAAGACAATGAACAAGTAACAAAAGCAAGATATCAAATATGAAAAATGCTAAGAACAATAAACAAGAAGAGGAGTATGTGTGAGAGAGTGATTGGGGCATAATCTTAGATTAAATGTTAGAGAAGCTTCTTTGAGGAGGTGACTTTTTAGCTGAGACCTCAATGAAATAAGGAGCTAGCCACAAAAAGATCAGGGAGAAGAATATTCCAGGCAGAAGAAATAGCTGTTTCAAGGCCTCAAGATGGTAAACAGTGACTGAAGAGAAGAGGTGCAAGATGAGGTCTGGCAGGGCCCCATCCTAGGAAGGCCCTGGGGAGAATGTTAAATTTTATACTCAGTATGGTGGAAAGCTACCAAGCATTTTAAGCAGGGAAATATGTGTCCTGACCCAGGGTTGAACCTGCAACCTTGGAATATCATCAGGACGTAGGGAAGTGACATGATGTGTAAAATTGCAAAGGAGTAGAGAGTCCCATCAGGAAGCTATTGCTGCATTTAAGAGGGAGATGTGGTGATGGGGGTGATAGGAGCAAAGGTGACAAGAATGATGGAGTTGAGCTATCCTGTATTTTAATAGAAACAAGTGGTCTTGCTAATGAGTTTGTTTTGGGGGAGAGAATGATTACAATAAAGAATATCTCCTAGGTTTTTGATTGAGCAATGTGGATGATGCTACTAGCTTACTGAAATGGAGGAAATTGAGGGAGAAACAGGTTAAGTCAAGAGCTCTGTTTGAGAAGGCTAAGATTGAGATATTATTTCATGTCCAAATGAAATGCCAAGTAGATAATTAGATACATGAGTCTGGAGTTCAGGAAAGAGGTAGGGTTGGAGATGAAGATTTGAGAATCTTAGAAATAGTGATGATAGTTAAAGTCACAGGACTGGATAAGATTACCTGTGGTTAGAAAAGAGGAGAAGGCACCTGAGGAGTGATTCCCAAGGGGAAGGAAGTTGGGCTGCAGTGAAATAAAGATCAGTTATCTGTAAGGAAATGATGTCTTTTTGACTTAGATATATTTGGAGGAAGCACTGTGAATTAGCCTCATAGTATGTTTCTCAGAGTTTGGGAATAGAGACAGCATTTAAGAGTAATGGCCTTCTGTTTGGACTTTCCAGTTGAGGAAATTTGGAATGTTGTTCTGTGGCTCAGATTCAGAGAGCTGCTCCCCCCCCCCCCCCCGCTGCAGAGACCACTTCTGGTCAGCCTGTGTCCCATTAGGACGCTCCCCTCCCTCCTTTCACACCCTTCTTGAGGGTGGACTCCCCCCTTTCTGGTCATTGGCTTTTGACCTTAGAGCTGATGTGTTAACTTTATTCTCAAGTCACTTTGAGTCACTGAAGAGAAGGGAGATTAAGGCAGTGGAAATGGAGAAATGGGAAGAGATTCAAGAGGTATGGAGGATACAGAATTGGCATGACTTAATGATCATTTGAATGTGTAAGTGAATGAGGGGGAAGAGTCAAATTTGACTTCTCTGCAGGGGAAGGAGCTGTAAATGATATCTAGATAAGTTGCTTTTGACTCCTTTTTCTTTGTTTCCTATTGATTTTTATAGGAACTCAAAGAACAAAGTGATCTTAGAAGTCAAGAAATTATGCCTTGTTCTTGGAAAATGACCCACAAGTGAAGATAGCATAGCCCCACAGTGAAGAAGAAAAAAGAGTCATCAAGGTCATTGCTCACCAATTATTTATTGGGCATTTAAATACAATTCCATAGATTTTCTTCTGAAGGGTTTTCAGGCCCCAGTATCTTTGGGTCAACAATTTTGGTTCATTAGGATCTGAAAACTGATGACATTTGCTTCCTCTCTATTTAATATGATCAGAAACTAGAAAGACATTGAGCTAAAACCAGTCTAGTCAGCTTTAGTGCTAGGAGCCAGGACAGTTCCTCTGATGAAGGGTAGGAGCCTGGGCGCTGGAGTTGTGAATCAGAGATGTCCTCTGTGGTCTCTGACTCTCCTAGCAGCCTCTCACTGTGTTTCATTTAAGTGTAGACTATGAGGCTTGAAATTCCTGATGTTTCACCCACAGGAGCCAAAGCTCACTGAAGCCCAGATAGCCTCTTCTTAGTTTGTGATAGGTATCTTCTGAATACCTTTCCTGTTTCTGAATTTTGGGAGAAGTTTCGACCTTTCAGTGACCCAACCATGCCCTATGTACATGGAGGGCAAACCAGGAAATGATTTAAATCCCCAAGCTAATCAAAATTGGGATCTGATTATTTCACCCAATTTACCACTCAGATTTCACCCTGCCAGAACACCCTGGATTTGCTGCTCAAAGAACTGACATGCCCTAAAAGTAAATGCTAATCCTCAAAAGCATCCTTACAAGTAGATAGAAAGTAGAGGACAGAAGGAAGACATACATTTTCAATCTCTTAAACAGAAGTAAATATGAACTTGATCTGTAGATTTCTTCTTTGGCAGTAGCTCTGTTGTGCAATAAGGCCTAGTGCCAATGCTCTCTCTGCTCTTGTAGATAGTCATAGAGAGGGTTGGGAGCAATCGCTGCCTTGGTAGGGTGACTTCCACCCTCTTCTCTTCTTTGGGGCCTCCCCCTGCTCTGGGTTGGATGGAAGGCCAGGTCACTGTGTCTTCCCTGGGAGCCTTGGCTCTGGTCATCCTCATTCATGTGGAATTTTTCTCTGTTAGCACTGCCTCGTTGGGTTCCATGGGATTGTCGATCCTGGGACCCTTGATATTTCTCTTTCTTCTCATGGGTTTGCTGACAGTTTTGATCTTCTTCATGAGGTTGCCTGTCTTGTCTCTGGTGGTTCTGCTCATCTTCATGGGTTTTCCTGCCCCGTGTCTGATGGCTTTGTTCCTCTTCGTGGGTTTGCCTGTCCCGTGTCTCACATGGAGTTTCCTGACCCTCATGACCATGTCTACCCCTGATTTGGTGACCCTTCTCTTCCTCTACCTGGTGGCTCTGTCTCTCACCATGACTCTCCTTGGTCTGGGCCTCTCTGTGACCCTGCCTATCACTCCCTTTGTGAGAGTGTGGCCTTTCTTGCTGAATTTGTGCTACGAGTTTGTGTTGGTGGTGTTGGCAATCCTCCTCAGGCTCCCATGCCTGGTGACTGTTCCGCTCCTCTAGCCTAGGCTGAAATCTCTGTCCCTGATTTTGGTTCACTTTTTGTCCTTGAGTCTGTTGACTGGGTCTTCCTGAACTTCCTGATTGCTCAACATATGAGCCTCTGCTTGTTCGCTCATTCCCTTGGAAGCACCTATTTTGCCCAGTTTCCCCAGGTTCTGACTGACTGCATTGAGAACTCAAGCCTTGCCTGTCTGCCTGTCCATAGTGGGAACTCTGGCCTTGTCTGTCTGCCTGACCATAGTGGGAACCCTGGCCTTGCCTGTCTGCCTGACCATAGTGGGAACTCTGGCCTTGTCTGTCTGCCTGACCATAGTGGGAACTCTGGTCTTGTCTGTCTGTCTGTCCATAGTGAGAACTCTGGCCTTGTCTGTCTGCCTGACCATAGTGAGAACTCTGGCCTTGCCTGTCTGCTTGACCATAGTGGGAACTCTGGCCTTGTCTGTCTGCCTGACCATAGTGGGAACTCTGGCCTTGTCTGTCTGCCTGACCATAGTGGGAACTCTGGCCTTGTCTGTCTGTCTGTCCATAGTGGGAACTCTGGCCTTGTCTGCCTGCCTGATCATAGTGGGAACTCTGGCCTTGTCTGTCTGCCTGTCCATAGTGGGAACTCTGGCCTTGTCTGTCTGCCTGTCCATAGTGGGAACTCTGGCCTTGTCTGTCTGCCTGTCCATAGTGGGAACTCTGGCCTTGTCTGTCTGTCTGTCCATAGTGAGAACTCTGGCCTTGTTTGCCTGCCTGACCATAGTGGGAACTCTGGCCTTGTCTGTCTGCCTGACCATAGTGAGAACTCTGGCCTTGTTTGCCTGCCTGACCATAGTGGGAACTCTGGCCTTGTCTGTCTGCCTGACCATAGTGAGAACTCTGGCCTTGTCTGTCTGCCTGACCATAGTGGGAACTCTGGCCTTGTCTGTCTGCCTGTCCATAGTGGGAACTCTGGCCTTGTCTGTCTGCCTGTCCATAGTGGGAATGCTGGCCTTGTCTGTATGTCTGGCCATATTGAGAATCAAATTCTTGCCTGTCTCTCTGATGATAGCCTGATTCCTCACCCAGCCTTGCAGAATGCCCATAATAAGAGCCTGATTCCTGTTGGTTTCTTCCGCTACAGCATGAATCCTCTCTAAGTATTCTAGGCTGGCTTTGTTGTTGTCTAAGCCCTTCAGACCAGCCATCATGAGAATCCTGAACTTGTGTCTCATACTGAGTTAAAGCAAATAAATATCCTTCTCTTTTAGTCTGGTCACTGCTAGATTTATGATTCAGTCTTTGATCAGAGCTGAAGTCCTGACCTTGCCTCTCAGACCGACTATAGCAGGAGTTCCTATCTTGTGTCTCAGACTGACCATGGTGGGAGTCCTGACCCCGCCTCTCAGACTGACCATGGTGGGAGTCCTGACCCTGTCTCTCAGACTGACCATGGTGGGAGTCCTGACCCCGTCTCTCAGACTGACCATGGTGGGAGTCCTGACCCCGTCTCTCAGACTGACCATGGTGGGAGTCCTGACCCCGTCTCTCAGACTGGCCATGGTGGGAGTCCTGACCCCGTCTCTCAGACTGGCCATGGTGGGAGTCCTGACCCTGTCTCTCAGACTGGCCATGGTGGGAGTCCTGACCCTGTCTCTCAGACTGACCATGGTGGGAGTCCTGACCCTGTCTCTCAGACTGGCCATTGTGGGAGTCCTGACCCTGTCTCTCAGACTGGCCATGGTGGGAGACCTGACCCTGTCTCTCAGACTGGCCATGGTGGGAGTCCTGACCCTGTCTCTCAGACTGACCATGGTGGGAGTCCTGACCCTGCCTCTCAGACTGGCCATGGTGGGAGTCCTGACCCTGCCTCTCAGACTGACCATGGTGGGAGTCCTGACTCTGTTTCTCAGACTGACCATAGTGGGAGTCCCTATCTTGTCTCTCAGACTGACGGTGGTGGGAGTCCTGCCTTTCTTCCTCATGCCTCTGCCTATGTTGTCTGCCTGTATTTCCTGGAAAGCTATGGTCTTGTGTTCCCTCCTGCTCCCCTTCTTGCTGGGAGGTTCTATCTCCACATGCCTTATTTTCTTCCTTATTATAGCAAGCTTGGACCAACTGGAACACCAGCAAGAGATATTCACGAAAATCAACATGTCCATTTCTGTCTTTATCCAAGAGGTTCAGGATGGTTTCCACAGTCTCTGGGTCATTTGGTCTCTGTGGGAAGAAAAACAAAGAGAAAAATCAGATGTTTTCCTGTGGACACTAAGATACGTGCCTAGGTTCATGCCCCAGTCCATTTAGTTTGAATGAGCCTCCCTTGTGTGAGAAGCCATTAATTTGAAGTGGCGTAGGCTACCTTGGTTCTCATCTTTGATCAGCTGGTTCTTAGAACCTCATCCCTTCCTGACTCATTGGAGGGAGCAGGACTATGGGGAGTAGAGATATACTTATTTAAAATCAGCTCCCTTCATAATGAATTTGGGGAAGCTGTCCCACCCCATCACCTGATAGTTGTTTGTTTATCAACATTTTTCCAACCACAGTGTGAGCTCCTGGAGGGAGTAAAAGCTGGCTTTATCTATGTTTGTATCCTCAGTGGCTAGTATGGCGCTGGTGTGGAGTAGGTGCTTAATGATTCTTTATTGAATGAATGAATGAGAAAATGTGTGGACAGCATTAAAATATAGAAACTAACACATTAATGTAGATTTCTTCTGAGAAATGATTTCCAGTTCAAAGTTCTACTTCCTCCTGTTCGAGCTCAGATACAAGGAGATGTGTGTGTGTGTGTGTGTGTGTGTGTGTGTGTGTATGTGTGTGTGTGTGTGTCTGAGCATGCCCGTGCACACATGTCTGTGTGCTGGGAGCAAGCTATTAAGGAGCTACCTGTAACTCTCTTAGTTCCAGGGTGGAGCATGACCAAAGAAAACAAAAACTAAGCCCTAGATGCAGGTTTCAGAGTCACACACACTTGACTCCATGGGATCCAGACTCTATGCATCTTACCCGGAGGATGTTTCCAAACTCAGCCAAGAGCAGCTGCTTCAATTCCTTCTTGCACAGCAGAGCACAGTCCCCGTCCTCTTTAGCATATTTCTGGAACACCTTGATCACGGTGAGTATGCTGTTCAGGAGTGGAGCCATTTTGGAAAAGACAGGTAAACCTAAAAGAAGAAACAAGATTTTGTCTGTGTTTAGGACGAAGCCCAGGAGACAGCATTTTCAGAGGGAAAGTGGCCCCTCTTGGTCAGGGACAGAGCTTCTCCTTAGCCACACCCCTGACTCCCTTTGACCCATAGTCTGGCTCCAAATATCACACAGTGGGAGATGGGCGCAGACTATGGGTTCCCTGCTAGAAAAAAATGGCTATTTCCTAAAAACAAAAAACAAAAATACAGTAGGTGTTTTACATGCCCCATCTTCTACTCCAGATGGGACTTGCTTAATTGAAATTCTCATATTAGAACAAAAGGGAAAGATGGTTAGGAAGCTATAAGGCAGGACCAAAGCCCGTGTCATGAAGCATAATTTTCCACCAATGACTAGCGTGCTGAACGGGGCACTACATTGACCCCACTGCAGGCCGCAGTCTTCTAATGAGCCTTGCTCAAGTGGGGAAGAAGGCTAGAGGTCTCTCGCCATGGCCAAGGAAACTTTCTGGGAGACTAAATTCCAGTAAGTGCTTCTGGCCTGGATGATCACTTTGGATATGATTATAAAATAGAATCAGTGAATACAAAACTGCTACATGAAATAGCAAGCCAAATTAACTGCATAGATGATGGGAAGCCTGATACAATCAGAGAAGTTCACATTGGCCATGCTAAGAGGCAGAGGGTCTTTGGGGATCTGGATCTCAAAGCTATTTCTCCTTACGTTGTGAAAATCCCAGTTACTGGGCTTATAGGCCTCCAAACAGAAACCCTAACTGCAAAGCACATTGGACTTCCAATAGCATGCAACGCTGCCTGTACGGACAAGTGGCAAATAACAAATTGCATGGGACTGAGTCCCTAGTGTCGATTCATTACAATGAGACTTGAATATTATGTGGCCCATGATGAGCTCTAAACTCTTGGGTCTTGCCTAACTTGCACAAAAGGCAAGTGCTCCACTAGGGGAGACTAGCAAACCACCAATAGTTCTAGCCCTTGATTTTGGAATACCTAGGACACACTATTAAAAAAGCGTATATTTTTATAGCCTCAGAAGTAGGCAATCCTAGCTATGATCATATTCTCAGACAGAGCTAAGAAAATGAAGCAGGAGCGTACCCACGGCTATCACCCTCAGAGAGTAGTCTCAGACCTCTCCAGCCCAGCACATCACAGCCACCATCAAGAGCCTCATGGATATTGCCATTGCTCCCCATGCATGTCTTACCTGTGTAAGGAGGAATGAGCAGAAGATTGAGAAGCTGAAGAGGATATTGGAGGCCTGAAAACCCATCCTATTTATAGGGGTTTTAATTGTCCTACGAGGCCATCGTAGGAGACACCCATTCTGTGGCAGAGCCTGAATCACCCTGGACCCAGCCCAGCTCAGCCCAGCTTGGCCTCTCCCTCTACAAACCGTTTAGTTTATTTACTTCCCCCACTTGCTCATGAACTTGTTTGTCATTAGATTAGGTGACACGGTTCAAGTCCCAGCCCCATTTAATTAGGGGAGTATGCGTGTGCATGCGTGCTGTGGGGGTCCGAAAAGACAGAGATGTTCATTCTTAAGATGTGTCACTCACCAAGACTAATGGAGGACAATAGTCAAAGAAGATTAGCAATATGTTCATGTTACAAAAATCCGTCAACGTAGGGACTAGAGATTCTGGGTATATGGCCAGGTTATAGTTCTTGGAAGAGATTTGTCCTAGGCTAATGTCTTGCTTGTGTGTATTGTATGTGTATTTTAATCTATTGACCTATTTTGAATTAAAATTTTTTTAACAGCTCTGCAGACACATGGCTGATTGGGGGGAGGAGGGCTGTGATGATGGTGTTGCTATCATTACTTGAACCTTTTAAGGTTTTATGAAAAAGTTAGAGTTTAGCACCTGGCCAGAGTGGCTCAGTGGTTGAGCGTCAACCTATGAACCAGAAGGTCCCAATCAGGGCACATGCCCCGGTTGTGGGCCCTAGTGTGGGGCATGCTGGAGGCTGCCGATTAATACTTCTCTCTCATCATTGATGTTTCTATCTCTCTCCCCCTTTCCCATCCTATCTGAAATCAATAATGCATATTTTTTAAAAAGTTAGAGTTTAGGAACAACATGGGAGCTTATGCTATTTGTGAGTAGAGATGCGGTCAGAGACCTGGGCCTCCAGTCATTCTCTACCTCTGCACCTGTGACATGCACCAGTGTCTTAAGCATAGGAGAGTCAAAGTAAGTCTTGGTGGAGTAAGTGAATTATTGGTTAGGAAAGCGTTTGGGAATTTTGTGTAAAATGCAAAAAATTCTAGATTTGCTGTACTTTCTATTTTTGTTTCTGGTTATACTTTTTTCTATGTAGCTACCCATCAACCAGTTAGTAGTGCTTGGGATTCTGCAAGGGAATCACAAAAGTGCAGGGAGATTTAATCCAGTTGGAGTAAAGAAGCTTTATGTAGAAGAAAGATTTTGAATGACAGGGACAGAACACGAGGAGTGTTGAGTGTTGGAAAACCTGGGTATGTATGGAGTGTTCATACATACCCAGGGGCTGGGCCCAGACTTCCCATAGAAGGTGAGATTTGTGTTGATCCCTGAAGGATTCAGGTGGCAGAAAGGAAAGAAGAGAAATTCTGGTGGGGAGAAGGGAAAGACCAAAGAGACAAAGGTGAGAATTTACAGGGTGTGTTTGGATTAGAGTGAGTTGGTAAGTCTGGCTGGAGCAGAGGGTGTACAGGAGAATAGAAATAGAAAATTTTCAGCTGAAAAAGAAATCTAGTCTTAGCCTCCTAATTTTACAGATGAGGAAACTGAAGCCCAGCTAGACTGAGTGATTGCCAGGCGTCCGACAGGGTTATGACTAAAGCCGGGCCTATTCTCTGAGGCAGACTTGCAGTCTGCTTTAGGGTTTATTTTAATGAGAAATGTGAAACAGGGAACATTTTGGTCAGGAAAGTGACACGATAAAAGCATTGTTTGGGGGAAGATTTTGATCTGACTGCAGTAAGGTGGCCAGCTGTCTCAGTTGGGACTGAGGAGCTACCCGGAGGTGAGACCTTCAGAGCAAAAACTGGGAGGATTCTGGGCAACTTGGGACAAATTGATCACCCCAGACTGTGGAGTATAAGATGAATTGGAAAGAGCCCTGTCTGAGCAGGGAGGCCTGTTGGGAGTCTCTTGTACGGCCACGTGGGGAGTGTGGATGCAGCAGTTCATAACTATAGGAAGGTGCTGGGTGATGGAGGAGAAGAAAGATGGGGTTGGGGACAGATTCAATGAGGGGCAGGGAAGGGGAGAAGTCAGGTGAGACTCCAAGGCTTTAAGCCTAGGAAACCAGGAGAGCTGAGTTGTACTGAAGAAATGCGACACCTGAGGGCTCTATGGGGTCTGAGGTTCAGCACCCCACCACCCCCCACCCCACTGGCACTGCACAGGGTGTTGCCTTTGGGATCTTGTCACCTTCCTGCCAGTTTGCACCCAATGCTGTTTGGGGTCTCCCAGCACGGGCAGGCCTTGCTAAGATGTGTTTATACCTCCTGAGAGCTGGTCATGCTGAGATTCTATTTCTGCTTTTGTATCTCGACCTATGAGACCTGTTTAGTTATGCCTCTTTTCATCTATTAGAACCAAAAACCAAGAGAAGGGTTGGTGACTCCAGGGACCAATAAGGGGAGTCGAGGTGGGTGGGTAGCGGGTAGAGAGCAGCGAAGCAGGGGGCTCCTTTCTGTGGACGTCTCTCAGGGCTCCCTAGCAGCTGTTTCGTCAGGTTCGTAGGGCAGGCAGTTCTCTGCCTGATGCTGCAGTGCAGAGGAGGATCATGTTCTTAGGAGGAGGGTCTGTTACATATGCCTTCATTAAACACTCAGGAAGTTCCTATAGGACAAGCAGAGAACTGTGTGTATTGCTCAGTTAATCAGTGGAGAGTTGTGCGCTTTGAGCACCATTCTGTAGGCACTGAGATAAAGGCACAGTCCTTGTGCTTAGGGACTTTCATTCTCCTGGGAGGTAGGCTACACAGGATCCTTTTCTATAGTTCAAACCCTGCTCTCATTGCTAGGATATTGAGAGGGACTGATTAGAGGGAAGAAGGGAAGGATCCAGGAGCTAAAAATAATACATATTTAAAGAAATTATGAAACATACTGAATAATTTTGGGTCAATTGCTTAGCCTCTTGGCCTTGAGTTTCTTCATCTATAACAGGAGAGGGTTGGACTGAACTCTAAGCTTTTTTTAAAAAAGAAAATATTTTTTTAAATTTTTATTTCGGAGAGGAAGGGAGAGGGAGAGAGAGATAGAAACATCAATGATGAGAGAGAATCATTGATCGGCTGCCTCCTGCATGCCCCACACTGGGGATCGAGACTGCATGTACCCTGACCAGGAATTTCTGGTTCATAGGTTGACGCTCAACCACTGAGCCATGCTGGCTAGGCGAAGCTTTTTTATTTTTATTTTGGCATTAACATGCTAAGATTCTGGAATTCCAATCTTACGTCAGCAGGAGCTTTTGAGGATATATTATAACTGCTCTATTCATGAATTTGATAAAGGCCTCATAACTTTGTGCTTCTGAGTCTTCCTCTGTGGGGAACAGGAGGACAATAATGGGTGTCCTGTTATGTAGCATTTTGAAGCCCTGGGCTGTGTTTTGCGGCTTTTATTTGCATTCATGTTAGAATGCAGCTTTGTGGTCACAAAGGCTAGATGTTTTTAAGCTACAATTTATTGATCTTACTATGTAGGGTAGGCTGTGCGTTAAGCATTTTACATACTATGTTATCTTGTTTAATTCCCACAACAACTTCGGGAGGCAGGCAATATTGTCATCAGTTTTCTAACAAGGAAATGGAGATTTAGAGAAAGATAAGTAGCTTGCTCAAGGTCATGCAACTTGGCACAGCTGAGCTGGGGTTTGAATCCACAACTTCCTGATTCCAAAGCCCTTGTTTGCAACCCCTATGTTACACCATCCCCTTTGGAACAGGACTGGTGATCGCCCA